AAAAAAAAAGACTATATTTTACGAAACATGGTAGAACTTACTGTAAATTATTGCTTGCACTTGAATGCGCTAGCGTGTTGGCAAGAATGTTAAGTATACGATTGCGCACATAAATATCATACAGAAGACGATCAAAATTAGATGAAGTTTTACTAGCAAAAAGAGCCGACTGCAGGTCCGGTATTGAGAATGCATAGGAAGCTTCGTGCTGCTCAGAGCCTGGCATTGGAAGTGTCCCGGCTATGAGCTGCCCAATCCTGTAAAAACAAACGTCCTCTGAAGCTCGTCACTAGCCAAGCTGTCTGGCATGCACAGTTTGCTTTTCAAGCAACTTTTCTCAAAAAGAGAACCTTGTTAACCAGAGCCACTGCTGATGCCAAAAGTACGCGCACATAGAAAAACCAGCGACTCTAGCAAGAGGGAGGAGAAAACAAAAGGGTAAAAATTGCCCTTTGGGCTGGCTTGATTCACGAGACCATGAGTATCAACGTACTTCAGCAACAACAAATTATCAGCAGGCGGCTGGAGAAGAGCAGCAAGAAGATTGAAAATGATATCATTGACAGCGAAAATCAGCATCGGGTTATCATACAATCTAATAAGGAGACGCGATGGCAGCGAACTGCGGCGTATCACACCAAGATTCTCGCAATTTTGGCTGCAAATAACGCAATCAGCTAAGGAAAATACAGAAGACCGAAAAAATAACATAAAAGCAGCGAAATCAGGGACTTACTCGGTGATGAGTTCATAAAAGTGCTCATAAATTAGTCGATTCAGATCAGCACTAGCATCTTTCCAAACGTCCAAATCACATAAAATGTCTTCGAAAACAGAAAGGTTAGGAATGGTGACCGTATCCTTGCTCGTATCCAATGTACCAACCAGGGACAAAATTAAGTGAAGAATATGCGAATTTAACAGCTCACTTTTGCCTTCCAGAAGCATTGCAAGAATCTGCAGTGATCCAACAATTGATAAAAATTAACGATGCATGCCCAAAGAATAATCACAGTGTGTTGGATGCTCACCTGATAAGACCTCGTACTGATAAGATGCTTGCAAATCAATTTGTCGGTTTTCACGGCAGTTGTCAGCGCTTTCAGTGAAGCGTATAATTCTTGGGAGGTTGTTGCCATTGCCACCAGGCCAAACAGGCAGGAAACACCCCCAACACAATCCAACAGGCGTGTTACCGGACAAGGCGCAAACATGCGCATTCCTGAAAAAAAATCAGACCAATACACTTATATCTAACATACT